TTGCTTCAGCTACAAATTAAATACATAAGTGTGGAACAAGACTATATTAAAAAACAAACCAAAAGCAAATACAATGAATTTGTTGACAAAAAAATAAACAAAAGTTACACACCTACATATATATGTATGTACTATATACATACATACATACATACATAAATGCTTGTATAATAAAATCCAGTGATTATTTGCGCATATGTGAGCTGTTTTGCTAATTAGGCAGCTCAACATTTAGCATACAAAGTGTTATTGAATTGTCAGTATCAACGACACCGATGCTTTATCACGTGTTCTATCGAATTGTACAACACACACACATGTATATTCAAGCAAAGTCAGAATACTCGAAAAGTAATGAAATGCGAAAAACTAAAATGAAAAGTTTTTTGAACGAACTAAAGAAAATAAAGAGTCTGTCGATAACCAGAGCAAAAAAAAATATAAATAAATAATTATATATTATATGTATACATGGCGCTCTTGATTAATGTGCCCCCTATAATGGCAAACACCCACCCTGAATATAAAAAAGTGTTTAATTGCAAACCGATTGACCGATCAACTACCCACACCAAACAGAGATTGCTTAGAGGACAATTAACATTTTATTTGAAATTTAAAAAACAAGGTAATACTCGCAATAAAATACTTCGAGTGACCATCTAAACAAGTTGGAACTATTTTTAAATTGATCTTATAAATAAAATAAGAAAAAATATTATTGTCAGCGGGAATAAAACATCGAAAGTAAGCTACTTACTTAAAGACGTACATATGTACATACATAAGTACATTCGTATATATACATGTATATAAGTATATGAGTGTAGAATAAACAATTGCCAAAAAATTACAGCAATAAATTAACATATTTACTGAGCAATCAATGTAAATACACACGTATGTATATAAACTAGGGTGGAGCGAAAAGAAAATTTTTGGACAAAAAAGAAATTTTTTAACATCTAGAGGCGAGGCGGCGCACTCAGTTTTAAAGTAAATTTCGAGTTAAAATTTTTTTGCACAAGAAAGAATTATTTTTGGTCACTTTATATAAAAATTACCGAATACGACGGTTTTTGACTCAAAATGTATTTTAACGCTTAAGGAAAGTATTTTGTCGTATAAGACTTTTTTTAAAACTCCAATAATGAACACAAAAAATTTTTTTTAGTTGATAACTTTTAATTGGCTAGAAAGAGAACTCTCCGCAGCTTCTAGAACACTTATCAAAAATTGTTTACGAAATCAAAATTTCAACTCGAAAATTAACTTTATAACCGAGTGCGCCTCTAGATGTTAAAAATTATTTGTTTTTGTCCAACAATTTTCTTGTTTATAATCTACAGATCTAAGCAGAAAAATTTTTTTTTCGCTCCACCCTAATATATACATATATGTATATATGGGAAGGCAATATATTTTTTGGAATTTTCAAATAAAACTATAATATTCAAAATAATTTTACAAATTCTTTAAAGCCGATAGAGTTGTATCAAACAAGCGTAACGAATCAAATTTATTTTCATTTATTTATTCATTTTATCATTCTCATGTTATGTAGGCACCTGTCAAGTGATAAACTATATTCATATCAGATTTAGATAACAACGAGCGAGTGAGCTGAACTATTGATTAACATTCATTTTGGCTTATGCTTAAAATTTTGTATTGTTTCCAATCTAATTCAGTGCTGAACCACATAATTTAAAAAAAAAACTTGTCCATTTAATTTCATTAAAATATCACACATTTTGACCAACCTGAACGGTTTAAATACGGGTGGAAAGACGGAAATAGGGTATATTGGAGATAGTGAAAGGGACGGGGTCATTGCATTAATTTTTTCATTGCTTAGGCATACTCGAGAACACATTTTGAAGTAATTTTATATATAAACTAAGAAAACCCGTTAACTTCGGTTGCACCGAAGCTATAATACCCTTCAAAAATACAAAGGTTCCTTACAAGAACTTGATTCCGATCTAATAAAGTCGTGAAGACTCCTCGTCAAATAGTTTTCCATGCAAGCACTTTATTTCGATCGTGCAGTTAATATGGCTGCTATATGCTATAGTCATCCGATCTATACAATTTCTCCAGAGATTGCATTATTGCCTTAAATAATAACCCATGCCGAATTTCGTGAAGATACCTCGTCAAATGAAAGAGTTTTCCGTATAATCACTTGATTCCGATCGTTCAGTTAATTCAGTTAACAATTTCTTCGGAGATTACATTGTTGCCTTAGGAAATAACTCATGCCATATAGTTTTTGGTAAAATATGCTTTGTCAATTTCATTGAGATAACTTCACTTATTGACAGATATATGCGGCATATAGTCAACCGGAAGTTCGAAAATCTTTATATTAGGTATATGGGGGCTAAGTGAAGTATTGACCCGATTCAACGAATTTTTGTCATACATATACGATTATCAGGAAAGGATCCTTTCTAAATTTTAATTATATATCTCACACATTGACCGCTATCTGGCGGCTTGAATAGTTGTAGTCCGATTTGGCAATTTTTAGTCATAAGATGACCTGCTATAAGCGCACTATTCATGCAAAGTATTATTCCGATATATTCATTGGTGCTTGATTTGCATACTAGAAGATAAAAAAAAATCAGATGGAATTTAAAATTGTGTTATTTGGGAAGTAGGCGTGGTTGTAGTCCGATTTCGCCCATTTTTACACTGTAATATTTAAAAAAATTAAAAATTAATACCTCCGGTGTGGGCGGGGCTGTCATTAGATTTCATCCATTTTAACAGTGTCGGTAGGGGTGCTTAACAGATATGTTCTGATTATAAAAATGTTAAGCCCACAGGTGCCTCTTGCTACTGTGATCCCCTGTGATAAATTACAGTTCTATATCTTTATTCTTAATTTAGAGCTTGGTTAAGGGAATTATAGGTTTTGGTTTAATGGCGTTTTGTGGGCGTAGCAGTGGTCCAATTACGCCCATCTACGAAACCGTCCTTACTTTTTTTCCAAGGAACATGTGCATCAAATTTCATTACGATATCTCAATTTTTACTCAAGTTACAGCTTACACAGACAGACGGACGGACGGACAGACAGACAACTCGTCTCGTAATCCTGATCGTTTATTATATAATATATAACCTTATATCTAAACTATTATACTCTGTATCAACATGTTGCAAGAGTATAAAAAAACGTCGGTTACATCTAAATTATAATACCCTTCATAAATGAAAAAGTTTTCCATACCAGAACTCGAGTTTGAGCGATTAGTTTGTATGGCAGCTATATATTTAGACAAATGAGCAGTTTTATAGTCAAAAAAGGGCAGGAGCGAAATTTCAGATCGATATCACAAGACTCAGTTCGCATATATACAAACAGGCATACGTAGCTAAATCGACTCAGCTTTGTAGGGTCTCCAACGTTTCGTACTGGATGTTAAAAACTGCATGGCACACTTAATACACCCAGTACAGGGTATAAGAAAATGCATTATTAGCGATAACTAAATAATTTTATTTTAGGATGTACCAGTAATTTACTACTATAGCTTTCCAAACAAGGTGATTAGTTTATCTGTTGTTATATACTCATATCCCTACTTTAGTATTTATATATGTATAATAAATAAAATAATAAAACCTAAACAAATTCCTAAAGAATTTTTTACTCTATTTTAAAAATTAACATGGAGTAATACTTAATTTATTTACGTCTAAAAAAGAAACACTTATCATTCATATTTAGCAAAAAATTAGACTACATACATCTCCTTTCATCAAATTTGCGCCAACTGATAAGCGCAATCAGGCTGATCGCACATAGGCAACAAACATGTATATACATGGACGATAAAATGACAAACTCATATTGATAAAATAAAATTGCAAACAATACTTAAATAAAGTTTGTTAAAGCGGACTGGAACGAATTAAAATAATTTTAAAATGACAGTGAAAGAAAGTAAAATATATTCTCTACACGAGCCTACTATAACAACACGACAAGTAACACGATACCATTTAAATACAAAATAATTAATTGACGCTGAAAAGTATTTCTAAGCTTTATTAGTAGTGTTTGGCAAATAAATAATATGTAACATTAAAGCTGATAAAGTAATTAAAATTTAATTGCAGCGAACGTAAATATTATAAACAAGTTTGTGACGTATACAGGAATTTAATACCTATAGAAGTTATTCAAATATAAAGAAAACGATCCCACATTGCTGATAAATAAAATCTTTTATAAATAATAGAAATGTAAAGACCTTTCGAAATAATTAAATAACATTGGTCAGTATAAGTCATGTTTAGTATTTTATGGTAACAAAAACCACCCTAACCCAAATTAATATTTTGCTAAGCATATAATTGCTATTATGCGAAATGTGGAAGCGGTTTTATAGGAAATCACTTCGTTTTCATACAGTTAATTGTAAATTATTCTATTTAATTATTTTATTTCTTTGTTGTTTCTCTAACACAAACCCAATTTTTTAATAGCACTGTTGATTTATCTTTACATATATTTTTTTTAAGTTATCAATAACAGCGCATCGATGCGAAAATCTCGAAAAGCACAACAATATATTTCGCTACGTAAAATACGACCACACTGACTGTGACATATTGAAAAGCAATGCGAACATTCTTTTTTATTTGCAGAACGCATGACATTGCCGCATCATTGCATAAGTTTTAGTTCAAAGTCATTGAATTTGCACAGATTTATTTAAGTGTTATTTGCTTTCATTTAGCTTTAATGCCGACATATTAAGGCATGTAACATATGTATGTATGTATATGCAAACTCCTTATAATAATTTATTTGTTTCACAAATAAAGGAAGCGTCTGTAAACAAAAGCTGACAACTTGACAACTCTTTGTTCACAAATCACATATTTACGGCATTAATAAAAAAAATTATATTGTAATAAAATATTACAATACAATATGTCGTTATTAATCAAAATTTCGAGATTTAATAACCACTTACCTTGTCCCCATGGGTTTGCCGGTTCCAGGTAGCCAGTAACCAGTTCATTATCACTTTTTGGAAATGACACTCGACGGGGCAATGCGCTAATCGGATCGGATCCTTTGCGTAATGAGCACGGGGAAACTGTAACACTACAAGCACCAGTTTTTGTAATTGCACCCGTGTGTCTAGATAACACCGTTGTTTTTGTGTTAATAACTGATTTGTCAATGCTTATACTACCGCTTGACCCTAGCACTGAATCTTTAGACCACATCGTTGTTTGTTTAGTATCATGATAGCTTCTCATTTTCTGCTGCTGCTGATTGGGGCACATCTGTGACTGTACGCTTAATGTGGTATCACTAGAGGTGTGCGTAAGATGTGTTGCGCCGCTTTGCATTGACATTGCTAAGGTGGGCGATGTCGGTGAAGAGGGCGGCGTAGGCGGTATAGGTGGTTTAGATGTTGTTATTTCTAGTACGGTGACTGTCTGTGTTGTTGCAATTTCAGCGCATGGTTCTTTGGCAAAATGTGACAATTGTGTACCATCCCCCACAACATCTGCTTTTTCAGCATCCGTTGGCTTGATCTCATTGCTCTTTGTTGTTAAATTCTTAATGCACAAATGATCGCTTAGTTGATTTTTAGAAGCAATGACAGGCGGTATGGCAATATGCTCATCTTGTTTAATGACGTTAGCGATCGCACTTCCATCGTCATTTCCTCTAACAACAGTTGCTATGTCTGCTAATTCGCTTTCATCACTAATTGCAAACATAGATTTACCAATTACTGGCAATAAATTCTCTGCTGTCTCATTTGTTGTGTGCCGAATTGGTAATTGAAAAACTTCACTACTATGCTTTTCACTATGGATGTACTTATCATTTTCGACTGCTCTGCTTATGTTTATTGAATCGGCCACTGTTGTCACTGCAGAAGTTGATATTGTTGATTCTTCAATAATGACTGGATTTTGTTTCTCATTTTCAATATTTTTATTATAACTCATATTCCCCCAACAGGTTTTATGAACAGTTTTTGCTAAATTTATTCTAGAAAAACAAAAACGTTTATAAAACTTTATTAAAAATGTTTAATATAAGTCTAATATCTGGATTTCATTAATCGGCATAGTTGATATAAAAAATTTAAAAAATATATATATATCTAGTTTCAAGCATCTGATGTGTAGTTGTTATTGTTATACTCTGTTCCTGTCATATTTTTATTAAATTTTCCCGCGACAATTTGTGATTGAGTTAATTACCTTCCAAATTTATCCGGATATATGTTTTACAAAATACTCAAATTGAGAAAAAGATATTTCAGTGATTTGAAAAATTAATTTATTTAAACAATGTCGTAGTCAGTTGCTCTCGTTTACTGTTTTGTTTAGTATTTTTGTCGCTGCACTCTAAGTATGTTTTTGCACTTTCTCTTTGTCTTTCGTTTACTTTATTTTTTATACTTTTGAAATTTCTTATATTTTTTATACATTAATGATTTATTTGCTTATGTTCTGGCGTCTTTATTCACCTTTCACTCGATTTAATTTTAAAACATTTGTTCAGAATATTATACTGCTAATTTTTTTCTTTGCACTCATGTGCCAATTTGACTTTTATCGCATGTTATCATGGGCTCCTTTTTGCAATATTTTAGTTTCATTTGATTGTGGTTCAATGAATTTACTCCAACAAAATAGTTGAATACATTTTTAGTTATTTTTAAAGGTCTGCAGAAATTATAAAAACACTAGGAAATCTGCAATAAATGGGTGCGAATTAGTAATTAAAAACACTCTTTGTTGTCAACTTCGTGGTTACACAATGTCAACAGCACACTAATCTTCTGCTGCAAACTACTTTTAAAAAGGCTCAATGACGATTTTTTGCATTTAATCTTCAATATCCATTTTATACCTTCGCACTATTTTCAAATTAGATTTTTTATAAAAATTATGAATTTACTAGAGGCGCGTGCGAAAATGCTAATCAGAACAACCAACCACAATGACAGCGAAGATGCGAAAGACAGAAAATAAAACCGAAACGAAAATCAAAAACATTACCTACACATAAACAGAAAGTGAAGGGTTGATATGGATTGTACACTAATTATTTCACCTTTTAAAAAATTCTATAGAATTATCCATCATATATGTAATATAGAGTAAATTACTTTTAAAATATATGTGTTAACAATCAAATGCGAAAATCATAAATTAAATACTGAAAGTAAATTTTAAGTTTATACAATGTGGGTCTCTATCAACCCTGTATTTCTTGAGAGTGATGTCAGAAATGTGTACAATAAAAAAATAGGAAAAAAAAAGTTGCTACATGCGAATATCTCTTTCCCGCTTATATCAAGTTTTCCACTTAATATATCATTAGTTTTATTTATGACGGATCGAAATTACAGCACTTATTATTATATTAAAACACTTATTACTTTTTCCAGGGAAGCTTCGTCTGGTTTAGTAGCTGTATCTTCTTGATAGCGAATAAGTTTCCCTAAGCTACCATAAGGTTCGCAAATTGAAAAACCATTTTTGCGAACCAATTTTCAATTATACGGCAACAGACTGAACAAACACGGTCTTTCCTTTTGCATAATATTAAATAATTAGCCTTGTAAAAATTTTTCCAAAGGATTAGTACAGGACACAACTGCGTTTAATCTTAACTCATATCCAATCGCACACTTATGAAAAGACGATAATTATACTGACGAAACAAATGGATAAAAGAAAAGCAAAAAGAACACATTTATAAATGAAGCGAAAACAAATTTCAATTGACAATCGTTTTGCAATGTTGTATTTTATAGCACAACTACAAACTATGAGGATAACACAATGTACCCAGGAAGGATTCTATTATTTTCGACTTTGTACTTATCAAAACAAAAGAAACAAAAAATAGAACAATATTTCAAAAATTTAAGTTTCACTAAATAATCAAAAATCATTATCTTAATGAAAATTAAAAAAAAAAGTTAGAACTTTATTCATAGTCTAATACTTGAAAATATTAATAAAAAAATAATATGCAGTCTTGGTCCTACGCTCCAACCCGAGTTAAAGGAAATACTATATATGCAATTTTTGTCATACTTTTTCTTTTTGGGACTAAATTTATGTGTTATATTCAATAAATGATTTTCACACAATGGTGCAGAAATTTTAAGCCAGTAATACTTTTTCTAAGTACAGAACCATTTTTTAATCAGCTGACTTACGATATTTCTCCAGGTTTCTCTGTTTGTGCTTATATCAGTTTACATATTATTTGCAGCAAAGCAACCCCCACTGGTTTTGACAATTCTTTGTCGAAGTGAAATAAAAAATTGTGATTTTGCTATTAAAAACGAAAAGTGTTTTATTGAAAGCTAATTTCAAATCACATATAAATTTTTTGTTTGCAATGGCTGCGGCGGAGTTGAATCCCTTCGCCGCATTACTAAATGAACCCAATGAAGAAGAGGGCTTTAAACAAGACTTAATCGAGCGTATTCTACTTTTCACATTGCGTAAAGGTTCAGCGTCCAATGCAGCAAGAAGCTTTCCACTAATTTCTATGACTGATATAGTTGTGGCTGCCGATAATGACTCAACCGTAAGCGAAGAACTGTTGGCACATGCTATTTTTGAACGCTTAATGCTTAGCGATCCTCGAGATTATGTGGTTAAATCTGGTGATGGCGTTTGTGATGAAGACGCTGTAGAAACGCGTGCAATTTGCTATCTTCATCGTGCATTTATTGGATGCGAACATGCAAAAGCGGAATTACCTGAACAATATGAGGCTTGTGAAAAAATACGAAATCTTATACTAACAAATGCCAGTACTTGTACACGCCAGCCAGAATTATTTGTCAACCAGAATTTATCCGTACAATGGTTAGAGGTGCTAGAGCACTCGGATCCAGCAGATACCACAACTCGAGAATTCTTTGTGCAAACAGTCATCAAAGTAATGGCGGAAGATGATCAGATAGAAGCACTGGGCGCTTTAAAAGCTATATTTTATCCAATGCTGGCTGAAGTACAAAAAAAATTAGCAAACATCAATCTCATAACTATAAAGAAAAATACATTTTGGACACTTAGTTATTTCGTACTCGACAAACGTGTACCACAATTGGGTGAAGTGCTCATCGATTATGTTACACCCAATCCAAACGCCAAAGGTATGAACACTGAACTACTGCTATATGACATTTACGAATCATATATATAAATAATATCCTCTTACAGGTAGTGAGTATATGGATACATTGCTTGGTCAATTACTTTGCCTATCTATTATGCCCAAAAAATCAAATGGGCCATTTGAGTTCTTTGCGGAAATCAGTTTGGAGACACAACACTCTGATCCATCGCTGTGGCAGCTTATGGCTATACATCAAGATGCAGTGTTTACATTTATAAAGCAATTGCTAGTATTGAGCGCAACCACCAAAAAAAAGACACTGCAATGGATTTCCAATTGCTTGCATGCAAATATATCACGTGGCCATTTGTGGAGCAATATTAATATGCCATTTGAGCAAGTAATAAATCAAAATGCTAGTGATTCTTTTATGATTGGTTTGACAGCGGTTCTACTTCGACTTTGTGCTCCTCTATGCGAGCCCACAATGAAAGTAAATATAATTGAAACTCAAATGATAATATGTATTATAAGTATAACAATTTATTCCTTCCTCCTTTTCATTTTGAGGTTTTATTAGTAGATCCAACATATTGTGCTGTCGCCGATGAAGACCGTCAAGCAAAACAAGTAAGCTTATTAAAAGCTGCAGAAGAAACATGTCTTTTGCCCATTGATGAGCATGAAACACGGATCGTGGCTGAAAAATTTAATTTTGTCACGGAATTGTTTTACATGACACATAAAGCATTTGAGTTGGGCTATCGGGCTTGCATTGAGCGTTACACGCGTATGACGCGTGAACTGCATAGCTTACAAACAGCTTATCATGATGTGGCACAAACAAATCCCAACAACGATTTAGCTAAAAATTTATTACGCATGCTGAAGGAGCAAATGCAGCAATATCTGTGTATGCGTAACGGACTAATGGAACCTACAAATGATACGCATATACTAAAATTTTTCGAAGCAACCACCATTTGGCTAACGGAAATCGCTCTAGTTACCGAAAATGAGTTTAAGTCTGCCGTCGCGAAGCAAGACTTTGCACCGCATACACGTAAAGAACGTCAAATTCCCGATAAATGTGAATTTATACCGTCATATTTGAAGTCAGTACCCGAAAGTGTTATTGACAATGTAGTTGCTTATCTAAGCTTTAGCCGTCATTTTCCTCCCGGTCAATTCATTGAAATTTATCAATCATCACATGATGCGCTATTCAAAATGATTGTTTTATTTATGGGTAGTGCAGAACTCGTTAAGAATCCACATTTACGCGCTAAACTTGCTGAAGCACTGGAATTTTTGCTACCCAAGCAAATTTCTGGCAGTATGCGTAATTCGTTCATTACTCGTGTATTCGACAGTAATAACGACCGTCTAAAGGTGGTGCGGAGCTTGTTGAATGTATTTGTCAGCATCGAAATGACTGGACAATCGGTGCAATTTGAGCAAAAATTTAACTACCGTCGCCCCATGTATGCCATTATGGAGTACTTGTGGACTAAAGAGGATCAGGTGCAATGTTTTAAGGATTTGGCTAAGGAGGCAGAAGAAAATATGGAGGCAATTGAACCGCCACTGTTTCTCCGATTCATTAATTTACTTATTAACGATGCTATATTTTTGTTGGGTAAGTCGGGTGTGGCAAAACTTTTTATATGCTTTAGTTGAGGTTAAGAAAATGATTGCTAACGCTTTCTTACGAATAAGTTTATATCCTCTATAATTTGAATTTTTGTACTCTGAACAGGGTATATTAAGTTAGCACAAAGTTTGTAATACCCAGAAGTGTGAGACGCTATAAAATATGTGTAGCCATGTCTGCCTGTCTGTCTGCATATACGTGAACTAGTCCATCAGTTTTTTTTTTTCAGATATATGTAGATCTGAAATTTTGTACACGGTCTTCTCTCCCCAAGACACTGCTCATTTGTTGGAACCGCCGATATCGGACCTGTATAGCAGATAACTGTCATACAAACTGACCGATCAAAATTATGTAGATTCTTGTATGGAAAACTTTTTTACTTAACAAGGTATCTTCACGAAATTTTGCAAAGATTATTATCCAAGGCATCGCTACAATCTCCGATGAAATTGTTCAAATCGGACCATAATAATTTATAGCTGCCATTCAAACTGACCAATCAAAATTACTCTTTTGTGCTATAAAAATGTGTCTGCGAATGGTATTATAGCTTCGGTGCAGCCGATGTTAATGTTTTCTCCTGTTTACTTTGTGTTACATTTATATTTAATATAATATAATTTATCCCGTTAGATGAATCGCTCTCCAATTTGGAGCAAATACGACAACTACAAGAGGCGCAAAGTCGTGGTGAATGGGATGCACTCTCACAGAACGATCGCCAACAGCAGTTATCGAGTCTACACCATTTGGGTCAGATGGCGCGCATCGACAATATTTTGGGCCGTGATACGATCAATATTCTTAAGCTGCTTACAACTGAGATTAAAAGTATTTTTTGTCACAATAGCATGGTCGATCGAATTGCCGCAATGTTAAACTATTTCCTCTTGAATTTGGTCGGACCGCAAAAGGAGCGTTTCAAGGTAAAAGATAAGAAAGAATTTGAATTTGATCCAGCCCAGACGGTGTTAGAAATTTGTCGCATCTACATAAACCTCAGTAGCAGCGAGCAATTTTGTTTGGCCGTTTCACAAGATGGCCGGTCATACAGCTCGCAACTGTTCAACTATGCCGAAAATATACTGATACGCATTGGTGGTGGGCAATTGATTGGCGAAATAAGCGATTTTGCAGCTAAAGTGCAGCGCATGGAGGTGCAATATCGCGAAGAACAAGAATTCCTGGCTGACGCACCCGATGAATATCTCGATCCCATTATGTCTACACTAATGACAGATCCGGTAATACTGCCCAGCTCGAAAGTGACTGTGGATCGTTCGACTATAGCACGGCATTTGCTTAGTGATCAAACAGATCCTTTTAATCGTGCGCCCCTAACAATGGATAAGGTGCAACCAAACAACGAACTGAAGCAGAAAATCGACGCGTGGATGGCGGAAAAACGTTCCAGTGGACGTGCGGCGAAAAGTTGAAAACGTTTGTGTTACGTGAAATAGCCAAAGATGTTTATAGTTGTAAGTGCCGCGTTTGTCCATAGTTTTTGTTTGTTTTGGTCTAGTTTCGTTTTATTTTAGAAAGTGTAGCTATGTTTGGCGTTGCAACGGTAGATATTTTCATGTATATAAATAAATATATACATTAATGAATTCATAGAAGCCTTCGAGATTTGCCCAACAATAATTTCACATTCCACAATTCTATTCAATTCATGCAGAACTCAAATTTTAATCAAAATTTCAAACCTCAAATGGAAAAAAAATTTGCTTTGGATTAAACTGGTGCTAGATTGGAACCTTACAACTGCTAGTTTACTTTTGTATATTTCTATTTCATTTAATTTTTATAAATACAAAATGTTAATGTTTGGCAATAATGGAGGTTCGAACATATTTAATTGATTCTATTATATATTTTTTTTTTGTTTTGCAAAATTACTATTAAATTTAACATCAATTTACAATACAGTAACTGTAAGTGATGCCTCAATTCGACTCAACTCATATACTGATTCTGTTGTTAAAAAAATTAAATTATGTTGATCACATTATACGATATATATATGTATTTGTTTATGAAAAATATGTCTACAAAAAAGTAAACGCAATAGAAATGTTTTAGTGTACCCAGCTAAGCTAATACCGTCGGCGGCGGTGGACAGGGACCCTGCCAATTATCTAATGGATGTATTGCAAAAATATTAACAAACTTTTATACCAATTATGTATAGTACGTAGATGTGCTAGATTCGTATTTTTGTTTATATGAAATAAAAAAGTAAACAATTTTCATATTTTATCGTTTAAAAAGTTGTCAACTTTTTATTTGGTTTTTATTTTCTGTTTTCCAAAAATATTTTGTATATATTACTTTATTTTACAAATATATTATGTGAAGGTACAAACAATTCCTTAAATATACACAAATATGTGTTTAAAACTTTTTTTTTTGAAAAATGGTAAAGTTGGTCTGGAAAAGGTGCATGAGGTCCAAAAATAGATAGTTACAAGCATTAAATACATATAAAGAAATGTATGTTGTGACCTTTGGGCAGCGTATTAAGGAAGCATATCAACGAAGACTATGTCTTTCCCACGACAGTCGGGTCTACCTACTCTGAACGGACCCTGTTTTTTATCCGGCCAGGGACTACCAACTCGGCAGCTTCATGAGATGCAGTAAACAAAACCAAATTCCTATCATATCTATATGCATTTTTTATAACAAAAAACAAAATATATACATATACATATTTGTTACTTAAGTTTAGTAAAATTCATATCAACTAATATTTTAGCACGTATATAAAAAATTAACTTTAAATCATTGAAATTTCAAATATTTTCGGTACCTAATAGTACTTTTAGAGAGTTAGTTCAATTTTCTCCCTCTCTGTACGATGGCACTTTTTACTTGCTTAAAAGTATCATACTGCTTGACATGTGCATATACTTTAGCAGTACGTATATCCCAAAGGTTCTCTATGGGGCTGAGATCAGGACTCAAAGCTGGCCAATCCAATAATTGTATATTCCATGACTGCAAAAATGCTTTTGTACCGCGAGCCACATGAATGGGGGCATATTTCAGCAAAACATATCCAATTTACACCAAGAAAATTCTCGGCAAAAGGAATAAGTTCACTATTTAGTAGATCAATGTATACTTCAGCATTCACCTTGGTGGGTAAAAATCACATATGAGATTTGTCTTTAGAGCTAAAGGCAGCCCATGCCATTATAGATTTAGCTCCATGGTTTCACTTATAGCAAGTCTCTCTTGGTTGTCGTGTATGCCTTCCATATTTGTGATGACCATCTGAACCATCCAAATTAAACTTTTTTTCATCACTAAAAATTACGTTTTCAAACTCGTCCTCCCAAAACCGGTATTTGTCGCAAAGCAAAATACGGGCATTTTTATGTCGGTTATTCCTTCGCGGCTGTTCTAGTTTTGATTCAACCTTAAGGCCCATTTCATGCTTCATAATTTGCTAAACACGCTATCTAGTGATTGGTAGGTCTAATTGTACTTTTATCTGCCTACAGCTCGTGCTGTCGCTAGTTGCTAAGTGATGAATGTGTCTCTTGGTCCGCTTATCAACTGCTGATGACCGACCAGTACGCTTAATGACACCAGAGTTTTGAGGATCTTTCAAATAATTTGAAACGATGTCGATTCACTGACTCAGCAATTCGACCAATTTTTATGCCGGCTTCATGCATTCCAATTACCCTACCCCACTCTCCGTCCGTCAGTTCTGTCTCTTGTACCACGAGGCATTTTTACTATATAATTATTTAAAAATAATTAATCATGTTTCTATTTGTCTATTGTTTTGATATTAGTAAAAATATTTAATAATCCCCAGGGAAGCAACGTGACAAATATAAAGGAAGAAGTCTTAATGACATTACGAATATAAAGAATGGCTGTATTTTAGTAGTCCGTTTAGTAATTAATACAAATTTTACTTCTCATGTTTGAGATAATTCGTAAATATTTGACAAGTAAATTTCTTTGCCCCTAAAACCACACTTTACTAACAGCTCGAACAGCTGATAAACGAAAGAACACCAAATTGCTGATCAGCGATCAGTTGTTTTCAACCAAAAATTCGTTCGTACGAAAATGATGTTCGCACTGAGAACTTTATTAAAACCCAATATAAATATAACGCTTCGTACTATTGCAACGGTAAGAAAGTAGTGAATATAATTCTTCTAGATAAATCACAAAAGCAACAACTACATTTCTTATAGAGCAGAGGTACACCCACTGCTGTGCGTATTGTCGAAGTTGGACCAAGAGATGGTCTACAGAATGAACCAAAATTATTGCCCACCTCAGTAAAAATTGCATTAATCGACAAATTGTCCGAGACAGGCCTACGTACCATTGAGGCCACATCCTTTGTTAGCCCAAAATGGGTGCCTCAAATGGGCGACAATGCGGAAGTACTGCGTAGCATACAAAAGCGAGCGGGTATCAGTTATCCAGTGTTAACGCCTAATCTAAAAGGTTTCGAAAGCGCTCTAAATGCGGGTGCAACCGAAGTTGCCGTCTTTGGTGCGGCTTCCGATTCCTTTTCAATGAAGAATATAAATTGCACCGCAGCTGAGAGTATCAAACGCTTCCAACCGATCATAGAGGCGGCACAAAAGGCTGAAGTTAAAGTACGCGGCTATGTATCTACTGTGGTTGGGTGTCCTTATGAGGGCGCGGTGAAACCTAGTGCTGTTGCAAAAATAGTTGACGCACTTTTCAGTATTGGTTGTTATGAGATATCTTTGGGTGACACCATCGGCGTAGGTACACCTGGTTCTATGCGCCGCATGTTGGATGAAGTAGTGAAAGTTGTGCCGCCGGAGAAATTGGCAGTGCACTGTCATGACACCTATGGGCAAGCGTTAGCCAACATTCTTGTCTCCTTAGAATATGGTAAGCCTGCTGAGAATTACATTTTACATACATACATAGTGAATATAGCTAAATAAGTTCCCCGTCTTAATTTTTGTAAGCTCAGAGCAATATATTTCCGTCAATTCCCTTTTGCAGGTGTAGCAGTTGTTGATTCCTCAGTGTCGGGCCTTGGCGGTTGTCCATATGCAAGCGGTGCCTCCGGCAATGTGGCCACAGAAGATGTAGTTTATATGTTGCATGGAATGGGCATTGAAACAGGCGTAGATCTAGAGAAGTTAATAGCGGTCGGTCGCTACATATGCAATGAATTGGGCCGTCAATCCGAATCTAAAGTGAACCGTGCGTGGAAGCGTGTGAAACCACGATAATGTTGCATTTATTCAACTAGCTTTACTAGTCTATGCATTTATTTTAGTTGTAAAAATAAATATAAACTTCAATCCAGCGAACAATTTCAGAATATGTAAAAGTACAACTATTATTAAAAAAAAAAAAAAAAAAAATAAGCTCGAAGCAAGCTCCTAACATACATAGTGAAATTAAAAAAAAAAACAAAAATTATGTATGATTGTAATATCGCCATCCTAAAATTTCCTTGCATCTTTCATTGTATACACAGATATATCGCCCGACATTAAGGATAGATTTGCCAAACTGCCATTGTTACGTTGCGTTGTGTTACCAAAACTGGTTTTGCTTGGCGTTTTTTTACAATTTACTTGGTTAGCGGACATTTTCAATTTACCTTCATGTCGCACCACTGTGGGTAGCATTGCATTTTCCAAATATTTCTGTATCTTTTTACCACCCGGTATAGTGACTGGCGTGCGCTCATCAACGATCTATAAGCATGCAAATATAAATGGTGCTATTAGTTCTAAACCTATTTTGATTATCTAATTAGATGCTTACGTGTTTGAACTCTGATGAAATATATGCCTTCTTTGGCAAACTAGATGTTTTCGTGCCTGTATTTCCTTTCAATGCAAATTTCGGTTGATAGACTTTTGTTTCTTGCTCAAGTTCACGAAAAACGGTTGCATTATGTACATCCGGTCGATCCGTACGCTGTTTGAGATTTGTCATTAATGGTGTGGTGGCGGTCTTTTTCATATAAGCACCGACTGGACTGACGATATGCGAAAATTGTTTAGCACCAGTTGTTTCCTTAAGGCGCGTTGGTATAGCAGAGGCGGGTTTTTTAAATAATTCAATTTTAGGCATTGGCCGCAAATCCATTTCGAAACGTTTATTTTTTTGTGCACTGCTCTGAGGTGTACGCCGTGGCGAAGACAAAAGTTGCTTTGCTATAGATGAAATTAATCATTGATAAATATTATAAGTTCTCAAATTGTTATACCATAAACAACAGGTTATTTTAAGTTTAAAACGAAGGTTGTTACACCCAGATAAAAACGTCGGAAATCTTATAAAATATATATAAAGGATCTGCGTGACAAACTGAGTCGATTTAGCCATGTCCGTCTGTCTGTGTATACGCGAACAAGTCCTTCATTTTCAAGATATCGTTCTGAAATTTTGTACACATCCTTTTTCTCCTCAAGATTGTCGGAACTGCCGATAACGGCCCACTATAGCATATAGCTGCCATACAAACCAAACGATCAAAATAAAGTCCTTGTACGGAATTTTTTTTTAATAAACAAGATATCTTCACAAAATTTGACATGAATTATTGCTCAAGGCAACGCTACACTCTCCGACTATTTTTTTTTAGATCGGCCCACTATATCATATAGCTGCCATACAAACAGACCGATCAAAATCAAATTTTTGTATGGAAACTTTGTTTATTTGTGAAGGGTATTATAGGTTTGGTACAATCAAAGTTAAGGTTTTTTCTTGTTATAACCTACCTTTTGTACCCGTTACAATTGCTGTGGGTTTTACATATAAAGCCTTCTTAGCAGGTGATGAATGATTACTATTTTGCTTTTTTGGTGAATATGTGAATGTTCTTTCCCTCTCTTTTAATGGTTTCACTGTCATTGTTGCTGGAACCAGTTCAACTTTTTTTACAACAGGTGTTTGTATATTTAAGCCAACATTTGGCGACGCCGTAGCAGCCATATACTGCATGCCTTTTTTCATCATATATTCTACTTCCTCCATGGTGTCATTGAAATGCATTGACTGTTCAACACTATCATCGAAAACTTCACCGCAATTTTCTTTGTCGTTTTCAAAAGAATTTTCCATTTTATCGAATTCGGTACTCCTCAAATGACTCTTATATACATATTTATCCGCAATGTTATTGTCTTCCACAACTGAATCATACTCAGACTTGAACTCATCTTTAACCGTAATATTGGTATGTGCTGTAATCACTTCTTCAGATTCTTCATCTGATAGTAACTCAATAACGCCTACAGAATCATCAGAAGATGAACTTGGCGATTGATTTTTTGTATTGTGTACTATCTTGAGATCATCACTACTTATATTTGCTGATGTTGTTAGCTGTTGTTGCGTTAACTCTAGAGTTTTATCAAGTTGTATCAATTCCAGACTTGCAGCTAAGTTCTCCGAGTCTTGCAACACGTATTTCTCGTGTGTATTGGAATCTTTACTAACAGCGCTGGTATCTGTAGTTTCGTGTGCTGTATCGTAATAGCTTGTAGATGAGGTCTCACTGCCTTTTACAGCACTTTGAAAGCTGATATGTGATGATGCATAACCATCTATACATGAAGCGTTATTAAAGTCATCTTCTTCATCACACTCCTCTATTATAGTGGATGGTCTTAAGAGGCCAACCATTTTAACAGGTGATGTTTGTAAAGTGGTCTCACCCAATATAGTTGTGTCCCACAATTTTGATGGCGCTTCTATATCTTCTAGTTGCGTGACATCAATACCCTTAAGTGGTGTCTCAACTTCCAATTGTTTCTGTTCTTGTACACACAAATCGTGTAGTAAACGTTGTAATGACTTCGCTTCCTCATCGATTTCTTGAAGTTCTGTAATTCGAAAAGATATAATATACATTATATTCAGATGTGTGAATTTTAAAATATATTTTTAACAGTTAATTAGAAATTACCTTTTTTACATGGGGTATTAAAATCATTTCCACTACGCTTTTTAGCGTCCTCTACAATTAGCTCCTTGTCATCGCTATTTATATATTGAAACAAAGTACTGTTTGGATCAGAGGCTGTTTTATCACACATTTTTTCCAAAGCCATGAAACTGTCATCTGATGAGCGTTGCCATTGAAGCGTCCGTTGCTTATCTTCATACATACTCTCGTCATAAAAAGTAATTTTTTGCGTTGTTTTATTGTTTTGAACGGACGCATTTACATTGATTGGCTTATTCTCATTATTTTCAATTTCGAACATTTTTTCTTCAGTATTTCGAGTTCCTTCAATTTTTGTTGAGTGGTTGAGGTTCTGTTCCTCAGAAGAAACCGTATTTCCTTCAATAAACACTTGCAAATCCTCAGATAGATCAAGACTAAATCTGTCACACTGGATAGGAGTTTTAGAACTTGGCGTTAACGTGCTATTTTTTTGAAACGAAGTTATTGAAATAATTATTATTATTTTTTTTAACTATCAACATTTGAAGCATTAAACAATGTTAATAAGATTACAAAAAAGATGCAAAAAATGTATTTCTAAAGAGTCAAAGATTTGGAAAAATTTCAAATTTTATTTACCATACATAAGCTAATCTACAGGTATAAGTAGGAGATCACGCTCTCCAATATTAATTATTATATATTATTCAATTGACATGCAAACATATGCATTTACCGTTGCATGAAAAGTAACTTCTTAACTTTTGCACGCCAAGCGCTATTCGCTTGAAATTTTTCCAATCCAGACATTTGTATTTAGAAGAGTTGAAAAGAAAACGAACATCCAAGATTGTAGTTTCGCTGCTCCAAACTTCTATGGGTTAGTCCCAAATCAGATATATTCAATTCAATTAGTTTCAGTTTATATACAACTCACACACCGATTACTAAACTAAAGAAAACGTTGTTGAAATTGTAATATTTAAAATTCAGTGAAGTATTGAGCACAGACGAAAAGAAACGTTGAATGAATTTTGAATAATGCGGCAAAGCCAAATTCAACGAAAATATCGAAATGCTACCAACTGTAGCATGTTATATTAGAGTTGCATTTTACAACATCTTATTAAATTTTTACATAGTACCAGTTCACACACAGAATAAAATTGGAGTACAACAATTATGGATTTTTAATACTTCCCAAAAGATTAGGAAATTCCTGTTATAGATTTGGCCTTGAAAAAATTAGTAGCGGGTATTCAATACATTCTGGTGGATTTGGGAATTCCGACTTAAGTATTTCTTTATATATGCGTATGCATATATAATGCATACTGTTTTACTACATTCATAATAATTCCTTGCAGGCAAAATGTGAGACCACCATCCCAACATACAAATGAAATATGCAACACACTCTAAGTAGCCGAACCAACAAACATTTTATGAAAATGAATTACAGAAAAACTCGATTGGAGTTGCTGTACTCTTTTTGCTCGTGTAAGCGCACAGAGCGACACCAAAATAGAATTTGCAGATAATGAGCGACCAAAGAGTCCCTATGTAAACGCAGTAATAGAATAAAAGTGTGAGCTTAGTGCCGTTTCAGACAGGGACTCAAAAGAGTCGCATTTTTTTCAAATTTTCTTTTGGTGTCGCTCTGGGCATTCACACGGCCAAAAAGAGTCCAGCAACTCGAGTCTAGTTTTTCTGCATTCCTTTTCACAAAATGTTCGTAAATATTTGTGCGGTTCGACTGCGCAACACCGCGCAACACTGCGTGCTGCGTATTTCATTTGTATGTTGAGATGATGGTCACACATTTTGCTTGCAATGAATTACCATGAATATGGTAGAACAATATGCATAATACAAGTACCTACCCGCTAAATAGTTTCAAAAAAATACTAAAGACGGGAATTCCCTAATCCACAAGAATGTATTGAATATCCGCTACTAATATTTTCAAGGCTAAATTTATAATAGGAATTTCCTAATCTTTAAGTATTAAAAACTCATAATTTCTTTACTACGTATTAAAAATTCATAATTTCTTTACTCCATAATCTATATCTTAATTTTCTCCTTATTTACAATTTGTCATAATATTTCTATTATTCTATGCATACGTATTTGCATATTACATACAAAAATAGATAACAGAACTCAAATTTGCGATCGAATTCATTTGAAACCGAGCGCTCTTGCAACCATTCAAAGGATTTGAAAGTGAAAAGGAATGCTGAAAAGGGTAGCAGCGAGCTGTTACGAACAAGAACACAAAGCGTGCCACCCGAACACGAGTGGCACGGTCCCTTCGTCTTTCCTCGTCGTCCCCTCGCCCACAATAAACTGGTTTGAGACTCTTTTGCGTCCCAATGTGAAACGGCTCTTATAAACAATTTTAATTCTTACACACACTATTATAACGGCATATTAATTGGACATTCTTCATAAATTAACATTAATTTTAAAGTTTGACAAAATTATATTTTTTCATTATCCATACAATTAATAAATCTTAGAGAAATAATTTAGTATTTACTATTTTAAGCTATTGCTTAGCTTCTTTCGCGTGCTTTGCGCGTGGGGACTAAATCAAGAAATTCCGTATCGGAAATAAACCTAATCACAAAACCGATCACAAAGTATGCGCAAAATGTTTGCATATTTTTAGGCGTGTTTTAGCATGTCTCAAGTGGAACAAATCAATTGAAGGACAGGGTGATTCAAAAATAATAATATTTACAATGATAAAATATCAAAGCGGTTGACAACCTCTCTTTCGGAAAAATTGAAAATGGATAATGATCCACAAGAATCCACAACAAAATATGGGACCAAAATTAACGCGGTATTTTCCAGATATTTAGCGGATATCAAGTCTCCAACCTATGTTTCTTATTTTAGGTACCATAAATAGTAGTTTCAATGATATAAATTCCTGAATAACCTACATGTATTGTGTGATAATAAAAATATTTTAAATAATATTAACTTCTCATTTATTCAATAAAAATTCTTATCGATCACCACGCTCAAATCGGGTAACTTGAATTAATATCAAAGAAAAAAAATACTGCATTAAAATTCAATAAATAAAATGAATTGCATAAGTTGATAAAAATGCTATGCAATAGCTTTACCGCGGCAGTCCCCGAGTGCCACACGTACTTTTTATTTGTTTATTGTATAATTTGAATATCATAATATAATTATAAAAATAATGTGTTAATTTATAAACAATGTTTTATAGCATGTATATTTTTGTTTGCAGTTTTACCTTGTTTGTCAAGTTGCCACACGACTTGATTGGAAACATTAATATTGAGACGGCGTTCAAGTACGGTGTTTCCAACTTAGAAGCAATTTCTAGATCGTGTAGCGTCCGGGTAATTGAATACCTTATCATTTTTTATGTCACGTTGTGTTGCTAACGGTTCGTAACAAAAAGCGATTACGTTGGTCAACATTGAACATATGTGAATTTCGTTTCACCGGCTAGCAGCTTTTTAAACACTAGTTTAATAAATTTTTTATTGGTGTTTGCACAAAGTTAATGATAAGATAATTACGGGAACTTTGAAATTTAAAATTACAGTATTATATTAATTAAACGGAAGAAGTTGAATTTGTTGATAATATTAGTAACAAATATTTGGTTGACGGAGTTAGTGCAACGATTACATTGTCACAGTCACGTCGTCCAGTAAAACGCTTGCAACAATCAAATTTCTAGTATTCAAAAGAGTGTACTGTAAGTATGTACAATAGTTAGACAAATGGCATTAAAGGAGGTTAAAAAATATTTGTGAAAAAAAAAATTTAAAAAAACGATTTTTTGGTTTTTTTTTTATGAAAAAATTAAAAAAAAAAATTTAAATATTGAAAAAATTCATTTTCCGCTCACGGATTTGTAATCTACGCGTAAAAATAAGTCGATTTAAAAAAGAAAATTATTTTTGAGGCCTCCTTAGTTGGGGGACCTAACTATACATTTACCAAAACAAAATTTTAATATTTTTGCAAAGAAAGTTTTGTTATTTTATTATAGGTTTGCATAATGGCTTTTACAAAAAGCATACGACGAGCGTTGACCTCTATTGCCACCTATCAGATGGGACGTCGTTACAGCGGCAGGCAGGTACGTTATTTAATTGTAGGTGTTGGCTTGGCTACTTCTGCTTCCATCTCCTTTGTACATTTGGAAGCTGCTAGAAAAAGCAAGTTTAATACTTCCATCTATATGGCAGAACCAATTACTGATACTAATACGCTGATTGAAAATGAGGATGATATGCGTACTAAAATGGAGTTAATGATAATGAAAGTTCAAGCAGACTTTTGTCGTGCCTTAGAGGCTGAAGAATACGCCGGACAAAAATTCAAAGTCGATCGTTGGCAGCGTGCAGAAGGTGGCGGCGGTATTACGTGCGTCCTACAGGATGGTGAAGTATTTGAGAAAGCTGGTGTTAATATTTCCGTTGTAACTGGCATGTTACCACCGGGTGCTGTGCAACAAATGCGTACTAGAGGAAAGAATTTAGCCGAAGGCAAGAAGTTGCCATTTTTTGCTGCTGGCGTAAGTGCTGTAATACATCCTAGAAATCCACATGTCCCAACGATACATTTCAACTATCGCTATTTCGAAGTTGAGAGTGATGGTGAGAAGCAATGGTGGTTCGGCGGCGGCACAGACTTGACGCCATATTATTTAAACGAAAAGGATGCGGTACATTTTCACAAAACACTGAAGAACGCATGTGACGAACATGACTCAAGTTACTATCCACGCTTTAAGAAATGGTGCGATGATTACTTCCGCATTACGCATCGAAAGGAAAGTAGAGGTATTGGTGGTATATTTTTCGATGATGTCGATACACCGAACCAAGAGGGAGCGTTTAAATTTGTTACTAGTTGTGCTAATTCGGTAATCCCTTCATACATGCCGCTTGTGCGCCAACACAAAAACGATGATTATGGCGATAATGAGCGACAGTGGCAACTTTTGCGCCGTGGCCGCTATGTGGAATTCAATTTAATCTACGATAGGGGCACAAAATTCGGTCTCTATACGCCAGGTGCGCGGTATGAAAGTATACTAATGTCATTGCCGTTGACAGCGCGTTGGGAATACATGCATACGGTGCCAGAAAATTCAAAAGAAGGGAAACTTTTGGAAGTACTAAAAAATCCTAAGGACTGGATTGCTAGTGCTCAATAGATTGAAGGAAGATCAGAAGTCTACGTAAAAACCTACTATAACCAAGAGCTCATATATAATTGGTCTTCGTTTAACTAGGAAACTATGTAAAAAAGACAATAGAAGTGTTTGTTTAATTTACATTATGGTGCACATTACTTCAAAGTAGTATAGTATAATGGTATGTTGTTGTGGGTGTCTGAACAATAAAATTTATTTGTATAATTAGATTTGTATGTACTTAAAGAAGAATAAAGTGCACTTTTTGTAACAATTTAGATACATACATGTTTCCATGCAGTTCATATAGGTCACCAAAGATAATACATATTTATTTATGTAATTCGTTGCCTTTTCAAAATGAGTTCTAATAACTCTGTTAACCCAGTGAATAATTTTCTTACTACAAAAAAAAAATCGAAAGCATACATTACCACAGCCAATACATAAAAATTAAACAGTCATTTATACAAGAGAAAATTATATTTTTTAATTTATGCTTTTGAATAATGCACAATGTGAATCTTTAAAATAATTGAAACAATAAGTAGGCGTGAAAACTTACGAAAAACAAGTGGTCCTTTGAAAATATTTGATTCTTTCAAAATGAACTGGCAAAACAGTCTTGCTCACCTATGCCGTGTAAATAGCATTAACCGTGGATGAGCGCTACCGACAACTTCAACTATATTATATTTATATTTTATAAATTAAATAATTTTAATCACACAAACAAAAATCCAATACTTTTTCGAGTCTAGTGCGTCAAGTTCTAGTCTTATTTTCACTTAATACACCAAGTTTTAAAGGCACACTTATTTCATTGAAAGTAATAAATAGCAAAAAAAATATATATATACATAGGTATATATTTTCTACTTCATAAATGTTTAAATTTTTCTTCATATTCTTCATAAAAGCATAGTTGAATACCTCAATCCTACCTCTTGTCTACGAACATGCCAACTGCTTTAAAATTTAAATATCGGAAACAATTCCATAAGACCCAATGCTACTTACAAGAACCAAATATAAATATTTGATTGCGAAATCTTAACGGTAATTTACCAATCAGCTATGATTACCAAGGCATAGCGATCTTAATAATACACCAGAAAAACATTAGCTGAGTAAAGAAATGAACGGCTCGCGCGCTTACCAACGCACAAATTGTTCGCATGACTTATCGCTTTATCACACATTTCTTGGGATATAGTGACCAACAAAATAACTGCAACATCATTATAAGCACTTAATAACTTAAGTGATATTTAGATAAGATTTGAAGTTATTACAAACAGATATTTTCATTTAGAAAACTCATTAAGGAAAAGATTATGCGATCTGTATAAAAAAACTGAAATTATTGAAGGTAACCGACATATTATTTTGCACATACATTTTGTTAGCCACTATGTAGTGTTTTAAAAATCCCCTCTTAACCAGCAGCAACTTATATCACTTGAAGTGACAGAAAACAGCAGCTTCACTTACTAATACCATTCCATTTGAATTGGATCAACTTACATTGTATCATACCTACATACATGGGGTCTCTAATTGTGCTAACCGCTTCCGATACGCAAGCTTGGGGAGTCAGTGGGCAAGGTGAACGTTCGATCCCCTAGAATGGGAAAATCATTAGTATTTCTTGCATACTCAAACATTACCTTTGCCGTTAGTGTTTTTTTAACAAGTCATAGAAATATGTTTGTTGTTTTTTTTTTGTTCTTGTGAGAATTTAATTAATCTAAAAATTTACCCGTTTTTTAAATTGCATACTTTCCCCTAATGCGTAAAGCATTAGCTTAAAAATTCTTAGTTTGGAATAAATTGTACTCAAACTGGAAGAAGAGAAAAGAGAATTAAAAATGACGAGTTACTTTCAGTACTATTACGGAATGAACATAAATAGTATATGTGGGAAGTGGGCAGTATAAATCAAAGAGTTGCGTGTAACTTATTCAAATTAATCATTACTAGTTTGAATGAATAGTCCCATGTACCAGCATAGGAATGACACTATCTCTAAACAAATTACTCACTAACTCCAAACGCTATGTACACGAAGACGGCCGGAATAGTTTTGATTGCATGCACACAACCACAGCACTGGTTTTGATCTGCAGTCTGCTAGGTACAGTATGGTTTCTCCCAAATGTGATATTCCAAAATAATTGGATACGCGTTACCGCAAGTAAACACAACTCAGTCTCCAATTTTTTTTACTTACTCTTTGCATTTTGGTTGTTCTTCCTTACATTAGGGTTGCGATTATTTTGTTTTATATGTTTAAATTACATATTAATATAAATAATTACATTTAGTGCAGCAAACAAAATTTTAAATTCAAATATATATCAGTGTGCTTTCATTTTACACATTGCAAGGATATTTATATCTTATTTAAATTTTAACATTCACAGATAGCACTTAATGAAAATTAGGAATTGGAGTCTATTAAAAAAGTAAATATTAATCGCATGAACTAATTAAAATCTCAAAAGTTTTTGACTAAAAAAAATGTTTATACATAATTGGTTAATTATATTTTCATCTCAACATTACGATGAAGAACAAATTGCTTCTGTGTATATTGGAATTTCAAATATTGTTTGCTCTGTTATTTTTTTAACTATTACGACTTAGGCGTTTGTACTATGTATAATTTAAAACTGAGGAGTTTATCTTGTTTTGTTAGTGCAAAGAAATTGTTTCATGATTAATGTCATTATTAAAAAATTATTTCGAAAAACATAAAATGCAAACGCTAAATCGAAAGAGTTGTGTTCAAATATTGAAAGTGGAACAAAAAGTATACTATCCAGTTTGTAATATACAGTTTAACCTCAACGCCACCACGATTGTTGACCATCATTGGGATTCTGTCCATTCTCGCCTACACCGCGTCCAGTTAAAGGGGGAGGTGGCACGTTAAACATATCTTGTGGTGGCCGGAATTTTTCTTCATGCTCGTCGTCATCGCTTTCTCGTTTTATACCAGCTGTTTGATAGGAATTCATAGGATAAGTTGGATAACCGTCGTCTATTGGTTCTTCCTTGATCTTGATGTCGATATCACGGAAATCAGGTTTACGTTCTTTTACATCACGATCTCCACGATCACGCTCCTTGTCACGACGATCACGTTCACGTTTCTTATCACGTCTCTCCCTGGATGAATCTCGCTCCCTTGACTTTGATCGTCTCTTCTTCTTATCCCTATCACGCTCCCGCTCACGTTCGCGTTCTCGTTCTTTTTCACGTCTATCACGTTTTTCGAATTCGTCATATTCACGCTCACGACTACCTGCACGTCGTCTCCTACGCTCACGTGATTTACTACGCGAACGTCTGGAACGCTCCCTTTCACGTTCTCGGATTCGTTCGCGAGATCGTGAGCGTCGTCTTATTGCGTCACCTCCTGCGAAACGATTACGTTCGACAAGTCGTGCACTTTCGCGATCCTCACGTTCCCGTTCTAGACGGTAGCGTTCTCGTTCTCTTTCATTGTCCTCCCTACCAGAGTGCTTTATATTAACATCATTACCACCTCGTCGTGTTCCTCCCAAACCACCACCTAAGCGCCGTGGTAGCCATCCTTTTACGGTGCGTGCACGCTCAACATCAACTAATACACGTTTACCATCGATTTTCTTACCATCAGCATGTTTATAAGCAGCATGCATATCTCTTTCATGTTCATATTCGATGAATGCGTAACCTTTAGGCTTACCCGATTCCTGATCTGATATCATAACTATTTTTTTTATAGGTCCATATATCTCAAATTCACGCCTCAATTTCGATTCAGATGTGTCGTAGTTTATACGTGCAATGAACAACGTACGAAAGGGATCCTCCGTCGAGTTTTTTATCTCTTGAGGATCCCATAGTGCGATCTCTCGTTCCAATTTATATGCAACTTGTTCAGCTTTTTCTCTACGTCGACGATCCAATCGCTCTTGACGAGTTTCGACACGCTTTGCAGGCGGGGTATCTTTTGGATCTTCGAACTCACTAAGAAAACCACCAATACCAAGGTAGCCACGCGACTTCTTTTCGTGTGGTAACTTATCGACTGGCGGCATATATGGTATTGGATCACGTGCGGCAAATAGTGCCAAAAGATTCGGCGGCAGATACTGTGTCATTTTGTCTATTACCTTGTTTCGTAGTCCAACGAAGAGTTCACAAATACAAACCTGGATACAAATGAGGTTAAAAATTAGCTCAACTTTTTTTTCTGGTATTAATCAGAAAACTTGCCTTAAACTTCCATTCAACAATATTAAAAACACAGTTGCAACCTCTTGCGGCAACTTTATTATAATTCTACTATCAATTGATCTTATTTTCATATAATATATAAAACTGCATCAGATTTTATTTTCGCTGGTGCAGAAAATTTCACAAATGGCGTACAAATAAAAGCTTGACGTTTACATACAGGGCTGCATTTTTCTTGATCATCAATCAAGTAAAAGAATTATACCTATCGCCCTTGAGTAAGACTGAGTTCACACCTAAGGGCTAAGAGAAAAACGGTATACACTAAGTATAAGCAAATGTTAAATAAATGTACATCTATGTATGTAGTCAACACTCCAAATTCATAATTTCTTAGGTCTTATAATTTCTATTAATAACTTAAACTTGTGTTTTTTCACGTCTTAAGTTTTCAAAAGGAATAACATTTTTATTGCATTATACTGTGATATGCATTTTCTTTTTTGACACTAATTTGTCATTCGATACATTCACAATAGAAAACTGGTAAAACATTTAGTAAATTAAGCTTCGACGCATTGAAGAAAGCGTTTATACCTCTTTAGGAGGTATTTGAACTCGCCAACTTAATTCTTGCAATTGGCAGTATTGACACCTTTAATATAATTGAGATATAACTGACCTTACACCAACCACCAACTATTGGTTAAATCACTGGTTAATTGCATTATTAAATTATTCTATTAGTTTCTTAAGGGCGAATTGTAAGATCATCTATTTTTTACGCATAGGTCTTATGAGTTGCACGATGTGGGAAAATAGTTTCCACGCTAGTTCTTTTAAAAATACTTTGAAGTTTCGAGAGTTGTGATTACTGGGACAATATTTTACAGCTAATAGGTCACACTTAAATATGTGAAATGGGCAGCACCGGAAAATGTAAATATGGGAATTTAACAGTTAAATTCTAATATAATTCCAATCAGATTCGGATTAAACCGGCGCGCGATAACAAAAACAAAACCAGCAGCAACGGTAAAATTATAAATTCGCCTGACATTTCGTTTTGATGACGAACGGAATTTTTCTGGAAACAGGAAAAACTGGTAGATTAGTGAATTTGTAATCCTTTGTGCAATTTGCAGATAAAAAGTTCTCGTGATATTCAGTTGGTCGAATTATACATTTTTTCCTTTATTACTAAAGTTGTTTTTATGAATTTATTTGTTTTCAATAATTAGTGGCTAGTCTAAATTGCATTTTGAGTAAGTTACCAGTGTTCTAAGTATTATATTTCGATTATATAAGGTAAGCAAATAAAAATAACGTTAATTCAAAGGTAATATTATTTAACCGTTTTTTTTGCATAAGTATCTAACTAGAGCTCAGAAATAGCCATGACTGAGCCGTCATATATGGATACTGAAGTATCGCATGTTACGAACAAACTAGAAAACAATAACGCTGAATGTACGAAAAACGTTCCAAAGATTTATGTTGTGGAACAGGCTACGAATGAAGTAGTTAAAGAATCCTTGGAAGTGGTAGGGGATTCTGAAAATATCAGTCATACTCCAGTAAGAAAGAACTTCGAGATTCCACCACCACCGCCACCAACACCAATTTCCTTAAAGTGTGCTGACGATATAAAACACAATTCCGTATTGCAATTTAAAATGATGCAGGAAGCAAAAGATGCAATGCAAATTTTGGAAGGAGATTGCGGAGAAGTAATGCAATCTGGAATGAATAATGTTTGTGCAGTGAAGGAAATCTCCGGTATTATCAGTAATAATGGCATGCTGGCTTTAGAAAATACCCGAAAACTAGTAACTGATCGAGAAGACGACCGAATGGTATCTTCAAAGGTAATTATATGTGATGTGTTTCAACAATAAAATTTATTTTACTCAAATTTAGAATATATTCTTGTCGTGTTTAAGTATTGTTGAATGACAAAAATTTAAGCTATTTTTTTTGATAAACATTACATTTAAATAGTTAAAAATATATAAATATAAATATATCCATATTTTACTTTCACTTTTTTACTTTTCTAAACGTAGAAACAAAAAATATTTTTGTTCACCATAATCAAATTGTTTTCACTACTAACATAGGACTTTTTCTGTACGCAGTGTCACGAAAAAATTTTAAGAACATTTTTGGCAATTATAAATTTAAATAAAAATCCTTATTCTACAAAGAAATATTGACTTTTAGTGTAATTCTATACAGTGTAACAACAATATTAATTCACGTAATATGTATTTGTACAAATCACTTTTTCGCCATCAGATGCAACCGCTAGAAAAATCCAAGGAAGCAATACCTCATTCAAGTATTTTAAAGGTATTAACGGAAGCAGCATCTGCACCCAGCGACGATGAAACACTAAAAATTCCAATTATTGAAAATGAATCAACATCTGGAACAGAAGCACCGCTACCACCAACCCTTGCTATAGTTGAATATCGTTCGGCATTTGAAATGTGCGCCAAACAACTCACCGTTGCAGAAACACGTTCTGCAAGAGTCCATCGTCTAGTAGATAAATGTGTTAAGACTAATTCACCTGTTTATGCTACTCCAATACCATTGCCACCACCTTCAAATTCGAATCAGAATTCGGTATCGGCCGAAGATGTGGCATTGCATAATAATATTTGCTCTGGCAATAAATCAAAGCAGTTTTCCATAACTAACACACATAACTACAATCATCATCAGAACGACGATGAGGTTATGCCATTACATATGCTACCAGCACGTTCCTCCACACCTTACACCCGACAGACTTTGTCTTGTTCGGTAGTCAATTGTGATTTAGCGCTAATTAGCGAACAGGTTAGCCCTTTGAGTGAAACTGACGATGAGAAAGAGCCATTAATAATGAAACAACGACAAATGACTCCACAAACACAACGTAAATCAAAAATGCTTTCAATTTCAAAATCGGCACCCGTAATTAGTAAACATACGGATGAGACCAAACTTTGCAAATCTAAATCATTGGAGAAATCTAATTGTTTAACAAGCTATAGTCGTGCAAGTTTGCTTCATATACGCAATGATTTATTAAATATATATCATTCGCATAATAAACATCCTACAATAAAACGCAATGTGCCAAATATCGTAGATTGCGATGTCATCGAATTAGAGGCGCGTCTACGTCGGCTTAATATTTGGAAACCAGTGACTCATGAGGAAAACACGAGTGGTCGGAAACATCAATGGGCCCGAAGTAATGACATGATGCCTGCATTTTTTAAAAATAAAAATATATTGGATGAGTCGATTATAAAAAGTCAGCCACCACAGCCAGAACTTAAGGTAAAGGCGCGACTTTTTAAGGGGTTAGTTGTAGTCAGAGACATAAAAAATTACAATTTGAAATATTTTGTTTATTTTATAAAAGTAAAACATAGCACCATTAAAGAAGGTTTTCGCTTAACTTGACAGGAATTTGAAAAAACAATTTTTTTTTTAAGTAATGGTTGTTTTGTATTGAACCAGTTGCAATCGAAGCTCCTTGCGGTGAACAAAAGTATCTGTCGGATTTACTTTAAATTCTCAGAAAATATTTCTAAAATATACTTTTAGCGATTTTTTTAAATTCTTACTACCCCGGACCCCTTAACTATAACGACCCATGTTTATATTCTTTCATTCTTATATATTTTTTTCCTTCTACCATAGGACTCTGCTTTAGTAACAAATCAACGTCGTATTGGTAGCGGTAGACTGCCCAAAGTTAAATGGGCAAATTCATTTGCAACCGACAGTCCTCAATCCTACGAAAAAGACGCCAACAATAATACGCCCATTAACAATGACATTTCAAGTAAGCTTAGACTTCTTAAGCTCTTCGAAACAAGTAAGGTTGATAATATGCGCCATGATAAGAATACAATTAGGCCGGCATTAACTGCACTAACAGGTCTTGGCAAACTTGCAGATCACGCAGTTACGTCGTCGTCGTCAGCTAATACTAATGCCAATTATGTAAAGCGTTTAACATCAGGCTATTTGGTTGTTTCAAATTCCAAAGATCGTGTGAAAGAAGTTAATGAACACCATCGTTATAAAAATGAGGAACCAGAATGGTTTAGTTGTGGTCCCACTTCGCGTTTAGACACAATTGAATTATGTGGTTTTGATGATGATGAAGAGCAGCTGGACAATAAGACAGACCATAATGATAATAAGATTTTGAATGAAAATGATGATTCCAAAGAAAATCGTAACGAAAATACAAATATGGTAAGTTATGATGGTATATTTGCTTTACAAATAGATAAACAAATTTTCAAGAATAGTTTAAAAAACCAACAGCAATATTGAAAGATTTTAAACGGAGACCTATTTTTTGTAGTTCTTTCTGCGGGTTTATGTCAAATTAATGAAATATAAGGAATTAAAAAAAAAAAAGCCAGGAAAAAACGTGTTAATTGGTCAGTTTCTATGACAACTGCTATAATAGTGCAATCTATACAATTTCTTCGAGGAATGTAATTTTGCCTTGGAGAAGATATCTCGTCAAATAAAAAGGTTTCCCATACAAGGACTTGATTTTGATCGTTCAGTTTATATGGTAGATAGATGCTATAGTGGTATTGATCTAAAAAATAAATTTGTTAGGAGATTGTACCGTTGCCTTGTGTAATAATCTATGTAAAATTTTTGTGAAGATATCAAATTTCCATACAAGGACTTCATTTTGATCGTTCTGTTTGTATGGCAGCTATATGCTATAGTAGTCCGATATCAGCGGTTCCGACAAATGAGCAGCTTCATCTCAAAAACTAAAGGACTAGTTCACTTATATACATATATACGGTCTAAATCGATTCAGTTCGTCATGCTGATCATTTATACATATGTATGTATATATAAGTTATAGGATCTCCGACGTTTTCTTTTGGGTGGTATAACGAAAGCATTTGTTTTGCCAGATCCTTATTGTGGGCCGTTAAGAAAGCTAAGCTCGGAAAAGAAAGCTTGACATCTCATATTTGGATTTGTGTTTAATATTTAGACATATTTTCTTCCAACAGGCTTTAAAGAATAATACTTCAGCACGACATTCGTTACAACAGGGCCACAAGTGTGAACCAAACAATGATAAAGGAAGCACTAAATCTCTGCAAGACGGCACCGATTTGCCGGAAGAACGAAAATCTATTTCCTTTCAGTATGATAAATTTTCAGGCGGTGCAAATAAGACAATGCAACGTCAGTACGGTGGCGGTATTGAGAGTAATGGACATAATTCAAGTGGTCGTTCCAGATTCATACCATTTTTTGCGGCTGGTGGTAAAAAGGTGTACGAGCGTATTGAAAAGAATGGCTCGTCAACATCATTGAATGAGTTTTTCAAGCAGGCCTTGAATGTACAGCAATCAACTGATCAGCAGAAACAACAACAGCAACAGAAACAGACACAACAACACCAAAAAACGGCATTAAATTCAAATATGAATTTGGGCGATATCCCTTTGGTGGATGAGTTGGAGGCTAAATGGCGTCGTAATTCTTTGACTGAACATACTCAACATAACAGCAATATTAACATGGAAAATAAAAACTTTAAATACAAAAACTTTAGTAACAAACAGAATGAAGATAATATGCAAGACTCAAATAATAATGTATTATTACAAAAATCGGAAAATTTCAAACAATTGCTGGGCAAATTGCAAAATAATAACAGTAATAAAAATGTCCAAAATAAACAATCAACAACGAACACAACAAAGATAAATGGCAAAGGTGACGGACAGAATTCAGCAATAACTCAACAACAAGCACAAACTCAATTTTGTAATGAAAATATTACAAATTTTATATTTAAACAGCAGCAATATCAACAACAACAACTTATGCTTGCAAATTTACATATGAAAGCTATTTTAAGCCGTCCCGAAGCACAATATCTTTTACTGGGTTTAGCTAAAGGTATGTTTAAAAATATATGTATTTTTTTGTAGTTGTAATTAGTTTTTTTTTTTTATATAAATAATATATCGTGATCTGTAATATCTAGATATACAGTTATACACTAAATAATAGGAGCGCCAATATGAAAAATATATCTGGGTACAAAACGTTTTTGGATCACATGAAAATGACGAGGTACAATAGCAGAACACATAACAGGATATTCACATTAAAACATAAAAGAAATTTTTAAATGATGATTGTAATTTTCGTTCAGTTTTGTTAGTTCTCGGAGACCCTTGAAATTGCTTTCCACAAAAAAATATGTGTTTGACATTTCCTTACTAAAATAATATTTTACTTAAAAAATATTCCTAAAATTAGAAAAATAAGTAGAGTTCCATAATCTAGCAGAAATTTTAATTAGTTAAAGGTAGTTAGGTAAATTTAATCATTGCATTTTCCTTCAGTGGGTGTAGGAAAATATTCTACAGAAGTAAAGTGGGAAATGACAAAAAAAAACTTCGAAAACTAGGAAAAACGTATAAGGAGATCAAAGAAATGGAAGGATATTTTGCCAAAATGGTAGCAAGTGCCTTAAATTATAGGAATGGAAATGAAACGTATGAGCGAAAGCGCCAAACATCCATTGTTGACGATCCCAATATATGACACTACTGCAAAATTAATACTTTTGAAACTGTTGTTGTTGTTGTGACGGTTACCTAGTTGCCGCTTGGGTGATAAGTTATAGTTTGGTTGTCGTCGAGGTCATCTAACGGGAGGCCCAGGAAACGAGCTGTTTCGACGGGGTCGTACCATAGCGAAATGGGTGTTAGGTGAGTGGGATTCGTTGGGCATGCAAAGAGGTGGTTGGTGCCATGCGGAGACTCATTGCACGCAGGACATATATTTGGTATGTCGGGGTCTATTCTGGATAAGAAGGAGTTTAACCTGCTACAATATCCAGAACGAAGTTGCGCGAGGGTCACTCTGGTTTCGCGAGGCAACTCGAGCTCTACGTCTGCTATGGGTGGTGGTTTGACTCCTAGTACGCCATTCACTGAGAGGTTGTTGATGTTGTTGTAACGGTTACCTAATCCCCGTTTGGGTGATAAATTCCAGATTGGGAGGCCCAGGAAACGAGCTGTTTCGACGGCTTCGGACCATAGGGAAAAGGGTGTTAGATGAGTGGGGTTCGGTGGGCATCCAAAGGGGTGGTTAGTGTCATGCGGAGACTCATTGCACCCAGGACATGTGTTTGGTATGTCGGAGGAGAGGAGCTCATTGTGTTCCTTAACCGGAAGCATAAGGGCCTCACTATGTAGGTGTTCGATTGGGGACTTCAAGAGGTATCACGTAATAGTCCGTAGTGCAGTGTTTTGACAAGTTTGAAGCTTCCTCGTCTGCGTTGTACTACATCCAGGCGACCATATTGGTGCAGCATAGTTTAGTAGTTTTCTACAAGCTTTGTAGACACATCCACACCATATTCCTCATTAACTTCGAATTTCGATTCCTCTAGCTGACTTAAAAGGATTGGCTTTGTACTATGATTTTTTCAACACTAATATCGGTTTTAGACGGTCTGAAGTTTTTTTTTTTTTTTATTGAAATCTTTTTGTTGACACAATATGTTAACGTCGATTTTTCGAGAGCTAAGCATTATTGCAGCAATTTCGGTAGGAGCTTTTCCTTTTTTTGCTCATCTCGCATATAAACGCTGTCTTTTTCTGATCTGCAATGTTTTCTCCGTTCCACACACGGGAGAACTTGAAACAAAATTCAAAGTAAATAGTGACCTTATAAATGTGTTTGATTATATGTAATTAAATTGCCACGTACAAAATTTGATAGAAGTAAAACGGTATGAGCTTCATAACGATAACAAGTAGATACCTGTAACATATTTAGTGTTAAGTTAATTTGCGGTTTAAGAAATTAGATGCAATTTTTGGTTCGCATTTGTGCTATTTATATATCCATGGTTGTATATACACTTCATAGGGTCCTCGACGTTTCCTTATGGATGTTACAAACTTAATATACCCTGTTCAGGGTATAACAACATACGTTGCACAAGCTGTCATCGAACGGATCTGATTTTATATTGATCCAATAAGTCTATGGTATAAAAAACAAACTATTATCTCTGTAGCAACATTTTGCAAGCGTATAATATGAGGAGATTGGCTTTACTACCCAGGTTGTGAGCAAATTATAACACTGCAACTTTGACCTTGTCTTGAAAATTTATTGTAGTAAAAATTAAAAATTTTTCTTTTATAATTTTGAATAACTAAAAAAATATTTAACACAATTTTTAAATTTTTTACTAAATTTTCGATCATACCTTTTTATCACCCATTCAATCTTATTTGTTACTTCTTTTTAATTTCAGGTGATATCTCTAAGCATGGCCTACTTGTTCAACTATCCAATCCACGTTTGCCGCAACGCGATAGGGAGGCAATAACTGCAGTCCTCACATTCACCTCGACACAATTTCCGCATACACAGCATCATCAGCAACCAACATTTACCAATCAACAGACGCATCCATTCGACTCCTTTTCCAATAATATGGTGATAAATCAGCTGCAAAATTTACATAATTTGGCATTAGTGCAGCAAACATTGGCGGTACAACAGCAACATCAGCAGCAGCAGCAGCAGCAGCAGCAGCAACAACAACTACTTAATAGCAATCAGCGCAATCCATTTGCATTGCAACCAATGACCACCGAAGAGCTACAAAATCATACCAAATTAATAATGCAAAACGCATTGGCAAAGCGAAAATTTGAAGAGCAACAATCTAATATATTAGGTATGCAAAAGATATTGCAATTAAATGCAGTAGCTACGGCGGCTGCTGCTGCAGCTGCAGTTACAGTTAATAAGCAGCATCAGCAACAGCACTCACAGCTACCAAATCAAAATCGTATGCCAACCGGTACAACAGCAGCAGCTACCGGCAATAACGGTAGTCATGTCAATCGTACAAGTGTCGGTAGTGGCAATCGTAGACTGCAAGCATTGCAGAATCTTTTTAACGATTCGAATGGCATGGTCGACGCTGTGGATGTAGTATCATCCAAAAATGCGTTCACTAATGGTTTCCATCCTTCCAAATCGCAATCTTTTCATAATGGCCCCAGCGTCTATCGCAATACGAGCTATGGCAATGTCAATAGCATGTCGGCAATTTCTCGACGACGTTCTTTTCCGAACAGATTTTCGAATGCGAATGGTGGAAATACTTTACAAGCACCTGCCATGAAATGCAATAATTCAGACACAGACTTTCAGCAGCAGCAGCAACCACAACAATCTTCATCGTCAATAGAGATGACTGACAGCCATATAGGAAATCAGAGTCGTTATAATAATTACAATAATAAAAATAATTCAAACAATAATAGTCGGGTCCGATTGGAGAGTACAATTGGCGCAAAACAGGCGCAGCAGCAACAACAGCAACCAACCGTGCTGTCAACAGGTGGCGGTAAGTTCCTAGTTTCTTATAATTAAGTGCAGAATGGTATATGTGATTTATATTTACAGTTATTTTTATATTTTTCGACTAAATTTTGCGTACATAACGCATAAGTTTAGCTTCTATATACATAACCAGGGTTGCAAATAATGCATTAAAAAATAATTGAATAAACACATTTTTTTAATTTTTAATCCCTAATATCGGATTGAAAGATAAAAAAAATGTTAATTCCAAATATGGGATTAAAAAAAATTTTATCCCGAAAATCGAAAAGAAAAAATTTGATCCCGATCAGCCGAAAATCAGAATTAAGAAAGTCAAAAAAATTTTTACATAGAATTTCACTCATTGTCCAATTTTACACCAACTTCTATGAAGCCTTTCCGTACCATCTTGGGCGTATTATTTACTAAATAATAGTTTTGTATTCTAATTAGTGGCTTAATTAGGACACTTTATAGGTGAGTGCCAAGGAACATATGCAACAAGTTTCATCAAGATATAGAAATTTTTACTCAAGTTATCGCTTGCACGGAGCGGCTTAAAGACAGACAGTCAACAACGACAGTCGGTGATTATTTATATATGTATATATAGAGTTCCAAATCGTTAGGTAAACAAAAATATTTTACTCTGTAGCAACATGTTGGAGAGTATAAAAACAACAAAAACTAAATTAAATACTTTTTGGGTTAAAAATACCGTTGGTAAATAAAACTAAATACTTTTTGAGTTAAAAATACTGTTGATAAATAAAACTAATTTGTTACGTATTATTTTATAAAATTTATTTTGCATTTGACTTCTTCGTCTATAATACAAATGTTTATGTATATATACATACATATCATTATATATATGGTACATAAGAACATATAAATGAGAATCTGCTCTTAAAGCATTGGATTTAAAACTTTGCCTATACATACAATCCGACCTGTGTTCTTTTCTTCAATATAAAAAGCAAAAGGTCGATCTACATGAAACCTTTCATATTTAATTGCTCGAGTTTTTTTGTAGTCTTCCACTCGAGCTTTTCCGCTTCCATTGAACTGAACGGATGTTGTTTGCAAAATATTTACTTTCTCCGTTTCAACGCCAAATGTAGGTTTAAAATCAATATCAAACCGATGTGCAGAGTTCTTTTGAATATGCTCTCTCATGTTTGTCATGAAGTGATATTTAAATGTGGGCATTACTACATTCACACGCCGTTCTTCCATCATCCATTGGATACGCTTAAGCTGTTCGTAGCCGAGATTATTGATCATTTCGTTAACACCTTGTTTGGTATGCGGTAGAAGAATATACATAAAATAACCATTACTATAAGGTAATTCTAATATTTTGGCATCCAAAATTTGCGAGTCAAGATACCTCAAATATTCAGTTGTTTCTACAGCCGGTAATATGATTGTGCTGTCCGGTCTTTCATGAAATGTAACATTTAGTGTAAACTTGAAATTCATATGTAAAGTCTCCTTAAAATTGAGCATATTTAAAATTAATACTTGCAAGTCAGTTCTTTCTAAGTTCGATTCAATTAATTTAAGCATATTTTCATCCGTTGTGCTCTTAGTCCAATTGTTAATAGTTGTAATTAGCTGATTTTTATCAGTGAAAGATGCCTCTTGAATTTTGCAATCATAAAACAATTCTAAATTTTCCGGTCTAATTAAAATTTCCTTTGATTCTGCGAAAATTACGTTTTGTCCTAACATTATTTCATCGTTTCCAAAACGTAAATCCACGAGCGGAGGTGTTTTCAGTAGTGCTTTTATATTGCTTGGTGAAATAATAATATTACTTTTGGCCTTTTGTAATATTCGCGTTACATCCAAAATATACCATGAGTAAACGTTGTCATCCACGTTCTCGGAAAAACCATCATTCTGCCCGTAAACCAGTGCTGTCGCACTCAAGATAAATAACAATTTTACAAGGAAGTGCCGTTCGAGTTTGTACGTATATGTTTGTTTTAATACTTCCATTTTCCCAGTTCCAAATATTTAATACAATGTTTTAATTCCACTGCGGCGGCGTATCAATCGTTTCAATAGAAATTTCGACCGCACTTTCGAATTGCTCTGTACGGAGTGTACCGCGAAAATAATATATAGATTATTGTTGAGGTTATCTGAGCTATCTTCGTTTTCAAAATAATATATTTAATCGCCGAACATATGCACACATACATTTAGCTCAGTACATTTATCAGCAGTATTGCAAAATTTATGAATCTAGTTTTTCCCAATGAGATTTACTGATGCTCTGGTGAGAAAAAAATGTTGTAGAGAGAGATGATTGCAGTTTTTGCAGAAAAAATAGTGAATAAACATACATCTCAAGATTTACAGGCTGAGGTAGTCAAATATTGGCGAGAGGACAAAATTACTCGATAAATAGGCAATATTTTCAAAAACACATTATTGTTTGGTACATTATTGCTAAATTCTAAAAGCCTGGTGGAAGTGGTACGTCCAAAAAGATTTGCACACCCCATGCTGAAAATAAAGTGTCAAGAAACACCCCAAAATACTACCCGCTGTCGCTAAAGTCAAGGAGTCAGAGGAAGCTGGCATAACAAAACTCTACCCTCAAACTGTTCTCAACTTCTTGATTTCACCTAATTTTAAAACGTAAACACCACGAAACAAACCACACTCCAAAGAATATATCTACCGACTACCGATTACCGACCGTATTTTTTTTTTACTGATCAGTCGTTCATTTGTATGGCATAAGAAAGGCTAAGCGCTAATAGATACAAAATTAAATAAAACTGTCAGCATGGAGGAGACTGTAATGTGTGGTGCAATGGCAGCAAAAGAAATACAGCGGGATCAAATCGCGTCGGTAACCTTGTTTTCATCGTGGGAATCATCTAAAGAATGGACTACTTGGCAATATTAGAAAATAACTTGGCTCCGTCAGCAGATAAACTAAATTTAAATAGAGGCATACCTCTCTGAACACCTGTGGGCTTATATGGAGACGAAGTTACAAGAGCGCAAAGTTAATAGCAAAAATGAGGCAATGGCTGCTCTTCAGGAAATATGGGCAAATATGTTATACTTGCTGAAGTTACGCAAAATTTAGTGCATTATATGAAGAAAAGACGAAAAACCATGAGAGAGGACAAAGTATTAATTTTCCCTTCAAGAGTATTTAAATGTCAATTTATGCAAACTGTACAAGTTTTTTTTTTTTTGGTTTTCTAAAATGGAGTTAATTTAATGATATATTTCAATTACATTATGAAAATCATTGAAACGAACTTTTTCTCATTTTTGGATGCAACTCAAAAGTTTTAATAGTTTAGGAGTTAAGTCACTTCAAAGTCAAACAATATCCCTGTAAAATTTTTTTTTTGTGGTTCACGGTATGTACATGTGGTTGTTGTAATGTCATTTCGATCCTCCTTAGTTGTGGGTTAAAAGTTATGACGACGTCATATAACGGTATACTCAGGTAATGAGCTGTTTCAGCAGAGGTAATTCGTTTAAGCTACTAACTCGTATATACAGCTGTGTTCATGTAGATAGTAGTGCCGTGCCGGTGGATACTAACTATAAAACAAAAAATCCAAGTTAAATATACAAACTACGAATTCAATACCATTTAAAAGTAATTTTTTCGCTATTTCTGCGTATATACACTGTCTTATTTCTCAATATATATAAATATAATTTTACTAGCAAGATTTATTTTAAAAATTATTCTGTTCACGAAAATAGTTTTGTTGAAGGAAAAACAGAAAATAATCCAGTTAAAAATTAAAGTTTCATACAGTAAACCTTTTCGATTGACTATTAATATTTGGTTGTAAAGCCTTTTTTTTTAATATTTCCATACATCGACGTTGCGTGGGCAACGTCTCATAGGGATTTTAGCCCTCCTACTTGACTTTACCACTAGCTAATATTTGTTTTCTACTTGATGTATTTGCTGTTGCTACAACTCGTTTAACGTTTCCCCCCATACATTTTCGATAAAATTCGAAAAGTGCCTGCACTGGCCAGTACTTTACCTCGATCCTTTCTGATGCAAACCACTACTTAGCTAGTTTGGCCGTATGTTTTGGGTCGTTATCCTCTTCAAACGTCCTTTTTATAGACATCTCTCAGATAGCAAATAGTTCGGTCCATGATGCTATGTATCAAATTTATGGGACCAACACCATAGTACGAAAAGCAAGCCCATACCATAATGCTCAGACGACCATGCTTAAAAGTTTTGGTAGTGTACCTCGAATAATATGTGCTTGATAGTGGACGGACATACTTTCTCGACTCTGTTCCTTCAAAAATAAGCAATTTTGCTTTCATGGCCTTCCGCCATTTTGTAGATGGCCCATTGAAATGTTCTTATGTGAACTTTATTCTTGCAGCCACATGTTTCTTTGTCAAGAGAGTTACATTCGGGAGACTTCTTATCATCAAATTATTAATAGCTTCCTTGATTTGTAAGAGTAGTAACCGACTAGTTAAACATTTTTTTTTGTAATATTTAAGGATGGTTAGGACTTTATTTGTAAATATCGTATAATCTGTCTGACCTATAATATGATATATATGATTTTTTTATACATTTTTCCCTACGATTTTCTGCTTTATCATTGTATTTTATAGCATTGCATATCATTGTGAAGCTGTATCACATTATAGCTTCGATTCTCGATAGGTTCTGTCTTGTTTTCTTAGCCTTATTATCAATCATCGCTGCAATTTTTTTCTCTCTCCACTAAAAAGGAAAGAACACTTGGATTTCAAAAAAATTTCATCAGAAAATTAGTAAATCACTTAAATACATTTACTTTTCACACTACCGAATAATTTTTTTATTTGTCGACCCCTAACTACAAGTATTACTATTTTAATGAACAGCTTGATTTTTTAGAAAATATAAAAATGCATCAAGGCGGAAGCAAATGTAATGGGTTTTTTCCGTTTTTATAATTTGAAGTGTCTATTCTTCCAAAATATTCACGCTTGTTGATTTGGCAAAGATTAGGAAATATTTTTAAATATAAGAACTACTATTTTCATGAACACAACAGTACATTCGGGCCCGTTCGGGTTACATAATATGTAATTGCTAATATTTCTTTGACTTTAGTTCTATGGCTGTGAGACAGAAATTCTGGACGACCCGACATGTGGAAATCATTCGTTCCGTATTCTGTTCATATACACATAAGCCGTATATCTATCTCCATTGCGCTGCAGTTACATGATCAAGAACATGCCTTAAGCTTGAACACACAATCTACTCGTCAAAATTGGTTTAAATTGACAGCCATTACGCAGGCTGTAAGCAACTTGATAATCTGTAAGTTTCAAGATGCCATTGTCATGAAACCCGCTTAAAATTCTTGACAATTTTGCACGAAATTAATAATACAATGGATTGATATACTTATATTTTGATATCAATCCATGTTTATAACGAAATATTCATATTCCCGACAGTTGCATGTCATTTGTTTGCAATACTATGTTATGTGGTCAGCTGTTTTAACTTGATTTTCAACTTGGCCCACGACTTGAATGGAAAAATTGATATCAAGGCGGCGTTCAAGTTCGAAAAGTGAGAGTGTGGTAGTAGAATAGTAGGAGTGTAATGCAACTTGAAAGCAATTTCCTGATCGTGTAATGTCCGGGTTAGTTGTTACAAAATACCAGGGTAGATAAAGATTTGAAAGCAAAAAAGTTATAGGAAGAAACCCATGGGAAAAAGAAATATAATAACTAAAAATTAAAAGGAAAAAAATTTGGGGACGATCTGAGGTCGGGAAGAGACCGTGAGGGTTAAATTTTTTAGGACTAAAATTTTTTTTTTAATTCCGCCAAAACTACGTTTCCTATGCCAAAAAGTTATAGGTAATAAAAATCTCTACATCTTTTTTATTAACATTTTTTTCTCATAGCCTCAAAATGTATGTAAAAAATTAAAATAAATAAGTTGTTGGGGTTTTTTATTTTATCATATTTTTTTTTAAATTAATGTGGTGGGACTAACCCTTTTATGTCCAAAACAAACAGTATTTTTTTTATTTAATATTTATTTTGTTCACCTTTATTTAAAAATATTAGTACACATTGCTATGTTAACATTTCTCAGAAAATTGAAAAAAGAACCTCACTAAACATCTTCAAGCTGTTTTCTTTTTATTTATCTACTCGTTCTTTCGCACCAGTTTATAAAATCAGTTTTTAGTCTTTAAAAATTTAACCAGAGGAGGAGGCCCTCTTCCCTTTCTTTTTTCGACCCTCTTAAATATTATTCTCTTCATTTCTGTTGTTTTATCCCGCTTTTCCAATGGGTTTTAACATACCATGATTATTATTCCCTTTTTACCATTTTCAAAGACTCCTACAAACATCCCGGTGAAATAATACTTATAATAAAGATATCAACGTTTGTGTTGCGGAAACTTGTTTTATTGATTTTAGTTGGTTTTGTGACTCGAGAACACTCAGTATGTCTCTTTTGCATTAAAATATTTAATTATTCCTGGCTTTTGAAGTAACGGATCTTTTGTTGGCCATACCTCTGTGCAAATGTATCTAGTTTAACATGCCTGCAGTTATTGCAATATATCCGAAAATTCTTCAATAAATTCTTACTGATATCATGCATGTGGCAACACCAACCTCAATTTTAACTTGATAAACAGCTGTTCGAGTTGTCAAAATAACCTCAATCTTGTAGCACCGCTAAAAATTGGCAATATTAATGCGTGATAGTGATTATTTAACAATTTGTTTGTGCTCAGTGCAATTGGGGATTCTAAATCCTTAACCAAAAAGTGAAAATAGTGCAATGCGTATACGTCGTCCACGCGGTGTTACAGTGCAGCAATTGATGGTAGTTACTGCAATCGGTTTCTTGGGTGGTGTATACATTTGGAAACCACTAATATTGAAATATCGTGCCGAAGGCACTCAACCAAAGGAAGACAGCCATAATTTAAAAGAACCAATTGGGCCGATAACTTCTAACGGTGTGCCTGCAAATACAATTGGGAAAAAAGTGGAATAAATACTTAAAAAGGAAACAAAAGTGAGTCTGAGGATGTGTGTACTCTGATATTTTATGTTTAATCGGAGAGGTATGCGCTTTTTAAAGCAGAAGCGGTAGAGTACTATTGTCACAAATGATTTATATATATTCATCTGTCATAGGGCAGTAGTATCTACGAAACCGGGATTATACGAGACGGGATTATAGCTTGGTAGTACATTAACTCAACTACTATCAACACTCAAAGACTAACTTTGTACACATAATATGAATGGCTAATATTTTAATATAGCTAGATTTTTTCTTAAAAATGCCAATACGAAATTTGGAAAACCATTTTTTGCCTTTGTTTTGTTTTTGTAAAAAAATATACTAAAGACCAGCAAAATATTTTTTTGGATTACGATATTAAAATTAAAAATTTTTGGATTAAAAATTAGACTTTCAATTTTAAATTCCAACTGTTATTAAAAATTTTATTTTCTATTTTTACAATAAAAAAAAAAAATTAATCCAAACAACTTGGACCAAAAATATTGTTTAATTTAAAAATTGGAGTAATAAATAAAAAGATGATTTTTCTTGACTTTAATGAAAAGGCATAGAAAAGGAAATATTTACATATTTCGAATTGAAACACTATAATTGAAAGCAATTAAATATAATATAAATAAGACAAAATGAGCTAAACTATGTTAACATATTATTAAAAATAAGGTTTCCTTTTCGAAAGATAGTGAGTACGCAAACGCGAAAAAATGTAAATTCATATTTTTTTTGTTTTAATTTTCAATTATAAGTTTAGGATTAAAATTTTGTTTTTTTATTTTTCTTTCGGGTATTAAACATTTATTTTTCAATCCGGTAATTTAAAATTTGTTTTAATCAAGATTTTCGGGACTGCAAAAACCAAAAAAAAAAACATTTCAAATCTTAATTCAACTATTTTGAATGTATTATATGCTACAGTAATGGAAAATAATATGTTATGAGAATTTGCTTTCTATAGGGTTATAAAACAGTAGCAATAAGTTGCATACATAGTTGTTTCAAGTTTTTAATTATGGATGTATTTTATATTGTAAAATTTTTTATTAACTTTTCATACAAGAGTTGCAAGGTATCCACAAAGTATCCAAAATTTGAAAATATTTAAGAGGTACCTTTAATTAGAGGGTTAAATATGACCCTAAGAGTACCTATGATTGAAATTTCACTACATTTATCCTTTGCGTTCAGAATTTCTCAAGCATAAAATACAAAGTCGATAAATTTTTAATTAATCTAGTCTTTTATTATTGGAAAATATAATATATGAAACAACAGGATTGTTTTTATATGCTATACAATTCTATATATAGTTATATAGTTTCTTCTAGATATCACTAATTACCGTTTTTATATTACAGATGAGCTCCACTAAAATCTTTGTTGCATTGAAAAATTCACCAGTTGGCTTTATGGCTGCGGGTATATTCTCGACATTTGCCATAATTGGCACATATCGTTTCGCCATTAAACCGCGACTGGATCGTCGTCGTCGTGAAGAAGCCGAAGCATATGCCGAATATATATTTCAACAAGAGAGATCAAGCGCAACAGTGTTCAAGCAATAACAAATACATATAAATTAAAAAAAAAAATAATAATAATAAATACAAATATTCACAATAGTATAATTTTAGTAATTGTAAGTAAGGAATATAAATAATTTCCCATTGTTTTCAAATGCAAATTATATTACACAACACACATACAACCACACGCATCTTATAAATGCATGTTAAATATGCTGTAATTTATTTGCGTTTGCAGCCGTTGGGAAAGTTGAAAGACTTTTTTTGGCTATGTTTAATTTAAATTTAACTTTAATGAATCGTAATTTTGCGAAGGTGTCACGGCAAAAAAACAAATGCTTAGAAGAGATTGTAATTTATTATCGAGAAATTAAAAAAAAAAAACCAAAAACCCTTTAAACGCTGAAAGTTGAAAAACACTGTATCAGTGATAAGAAATGAAATTGATTTTGTTCTTTTTATTGTTAAAAAAAATTTTAGTTTCTTACATATAATGAATTTTCGAACCACCATATGAATTCAGTAATAATTTTATATCTTTTACTTATTGGAATGAAATTATAAATGAATGAAACTAAGAAAAATAATGTATCATTGAATTACTTGATTAAATAAAATTTGCAAAATTTCTAACTTAGTCCATGCTTAACAAAAAAAATGGAAATTGTGTTTTATTTCAGTTGGATATTATGATTCGGTTTTATATAACTTACAGGAAGACAAAGTCGTATTTATAACTAACGAAAAACGGATTTAGCTAAAATAGGGTTGCATTTTTCATATAATTTTTGATGTCAGGTCAACAAAAGTGCTTATAATTTTTTATAGTGTTAAGATTATAGAAAGAAGATCTAATAGAAATTAAAAATAAAAATGAGGTTTTGGGAGTGACATTGATCAAATTTAAGAATTTTTAGTACCGAATTATTTATTTTCACGCAATCTTATTACCAATGTGGTTTTACGATTTTTTGTACATTGAACGATTATACTAAGTTTGCCACTCATTTGTACATATGTATATGTAAGTGATCAGCACGACAAGCCATGTCTCTCTGTCTGTCTGTATATTCGCGAAGTAGTCTCTCAATCTTTGAGATATCGATCTGAATCTATGCACACGTGCTTTTCTTTTCAAGAAGCTGATCATTTGTCGGAATCTGAATCGGAATTTGCCGATATCGGATTAATATGGCATATAGCTATCATACAAACTGAACGATCGAAATCAATTTTTTGTAGGGAAAACTTTTTTATTCGACAAGGTAGGTAGATAGATAGGTAGGATGGCTGCCTAACGACGCACTTAGGCCTTTAGGGATCCCATGATAACACAGGGACTTAAGTCCCCTCACTCTATTGTCTGGTCTCTGAACCACCCCGTGCTTCTTCATTTATCTCCTCGACGTCCGCTAGATGCGATTCTTTTTCTATATAGAACCTTACAATCGCATAAAAAACGTTTACTAGTATCCTCTTTTACCTCTTGACAGCTTCTGTAGGAGTCATTATATGGCGTTCTTAGTCTACTGGCATGTCTGCCTATTAGACGGTGATCTGCTAGTACTTCCATTATAGTTCTTATATCATTCCTTTTAACGTTTCATAGTCCGTACATGACATATTCCATTCATGCCTCATTTGCCTGCTTGTTGAGCAAATCAGGGATTGATTCCACCGAGACTCAGCTATTTTTATAACATATTTGTCGATTAAATATCTATAAGTAGCCAGAGGCATATAAGTTCCTGTTCTGGATAGTTCCTCTGCTTCACAGTTCCCAGATATATCACGTATGTCCTGGAATCCATTGCAGGTTTATCGTGAAATAGAATGCTAGATCCAGTAAGATTCTTTCACTAACTTAGATGAGACCCTAAGAGACTTTATTGATCTCAAAGCCGTCTGACTATCTGTATATATAAAAATATTCCTTGTGTATAAGCACACTTTTTGTCAGAACAAGAAGGATTTCTTGAATTGCTGTGATCTCGGCTTGGAAGGCACTGCAGTGATCTGGTAGACGCTCCCACTTTCCGTTCCCACGACAGTCGGGTCTACGTAACCGGAACGGACCCGGATTTATTCCGGCCAAGGACTGTCAACTCGGTAGAATTCTGCCGCTACAACAACAACGCTCCCACTTTGGAAAAGGATAGGATTTTGAAAATCCGTGGTAATGGGAAGAAAAGGGAACTTCGTACGTATCGTATAATGTCCCTTGTTACTGGCGACTAATAGGGAGGATTCCCTCAGTCTGTGAGTTGACTTCGCTGCCATTTGCTTACAAAACAAGTCTGTTGGCAGTAAGTGTAAAATTTCGTTTAGTGACTGGTTTGGCGTTGCTCTGATGCTTTCCATACGCCTTACCGCTTATTTCTTTTCCGTTATTGGCCATTGATTTCCATGAAAACTTCCTGTCTAAAATTAGCCCCAAGTAAGTTACCTTATCTCCTATTGCTAGTAGTTTCTGGAATATTGTTTTTCTTGTGTTGCACAATACTAGATCTGTCTTGTTAGCATTCAAGTTTAGTCTGCACGATACAGCCCATCGATTAATATAATTTTATATTGTTTGCATAAGGTTATAGAGGGTATTCGGGAATTCACCTCTAAACGAAACTGCCTCTGCCGTGAGGTTTAGAGATGCCCACATCTTTAAGCGCGCCCACTGTGGTCTTAGGCTGGATTTTAATGAAAGCGCCTTCTAGGTCTAGGAAGGCTACGCGGGTATATTCTTTTATCTTCAGAGGTTTTCCATTCTCTGCAACTACCGAGCTTAGTGCTGTTTCTGCGGATTTACCTTTAAAATACTGTTTTTTTTTCTGGGTTTAGGGTACTTTTAATGTCTAGTGGAGTCCCCATCGTGTAGTTTTCAGAGCTGCTTGGGAAGTGAGTATCCATTTGCAGGCCTAAAGACTCTTCACTGCGTACCGTCCAGCTGTGGTCTGGCATCTGAAGGTATCCAATGTTAATCGACGATTGTGCCATTATTTTCCTAAGTCGAGACGCTTTACTCGTATTCCCGATATCATTACAAAAGGATTTCCACGAATTTCCTTTTGCTTTACTTACTACTTTTTTATATGATCTTAAGAGGTTATAATATCTATCCTACTCATCTTCTCCTTGTTATAGTTTGGGTAAATTAAATTTCTTCCTGCAATCTTTCTGTAAGTTCTTAAGTACGGGAGGCCATTATTCTTCCTCAACTACGTGTTATTGGACAAGCCATTTTTAATTCTTGTCGGCCAAAGTCTGTGACTTGTTTAACGAGGATGTCCATGCCGTCTTTATTCTCTAGTTGGAATGGCGGAATCATAGGAATACGTTTTCTTAGCTCCTGCACGTGCATATGCTTGTTCGTTTTCCTATGATTCCTGAGATCTTCTACCCTGCCTATAGTTTCTTCAATTATGCATTCAATGTAGCGGTGATCCGAAAAGGAGTGT